TTTCTGTTGTTTTTTTTTTTTTTCCCCATGTGATTTTATTTTGCTATATATGTCCTGTTCCAATCCTTGACAAGATAACAAAAATACTTTCAGACAGACTGCATGTTATTTGTCATAGACGTTTATTCCACATGTTAGGCCATTTAAGCCTGCTCCATTTGATCAGTTGCAAGATTCCCTTTAGCCGCAAGAGAGGTATTTTAATCTAAGAAATATCCTTAATTGTTAAATTTCATTTTTTTTGTCATTTTTTATGATTCCACAGTGCTAAAATGTTAGAGAAAAAAATGAAAATTGCATTTTACTTAAATTTTCTGTATTTTTATTTGGCTTGGTATTCTGCTTTTTCTACATTTGTTGAAAGGGTGACTGATTGCCATACATCTATTTTTGTCCATCCAGAATGTACATTGAACTCTTGTTTAAACACCATTTTCATGCTTAAAATAACCCACTGGTAAAATCATCATCATCACTTCACAACTATTATGGGGGCCCAATGTAAGGGTATTAAAATTTGCTGGGCTGGCTAGTAAGCTGCTGCCTTATGCTGATGGTGTCATTAAATTCCAGCTGTTGATAAGCATTGGCTCTGACCGTACACCCCAATATAAATTTTCGAATGTCAAAAATGTGGTAGCATTGATCAAAGAAAATTCTACTCATTGCCAAACAAGCTGTTGGGATAAAATAATTGCCATGAAGAAGGGGGGCACAAAAGCAAGTTGATGAACCCCACATCACTTGGTGTTAATTTCAGATGGCAAATGAGTATTGTCAAGGTTTCTTAGTTTTAGTTACAAAAAAAAATTAGTGCTAGTGCCTGTAATAGCTATCACAAATTAATTCTAAATTTAAAGTAGAAAATGGCAAATAACTAATTATGGACTGCTGAAGATTAGAATATTGTTTTGTATTGATTTTTCACCACTTGTATCAATATGTGTATCGTTACAGCAAAAGTATTTGTTGATGCATGTTTTATATTTTTGTGCATTTGGTTGCTGCTTTGATTAGAGTTAGATTTTCATAGCTTCAACACGGTGCTTGAAGTTGGGTACTACTTCAACTAATCCAAATCTTTTGAAATCATTTCACGGCTTAAAGAAAATTTAGATTTATTGAAAGAGGAAAAAGTAGACATAACTAAAACTTGACCAAAAAGTTTTAAAAAATTCTTTCAAATGGAGCTGGTTACAACAGAGGGAACAATAAAAAGATTCTTTTACAGTAAATACTTTGAAATTAGAGGCATGGAAAATATTGTGGTCTTTATTTTTTAATTGGGTTTAAACCCTTTATTGAATTTAGCATCTTTTTAACGTGGAAATCCAGTACTAGAATTTCTCTTCCATTTATGCAGAGTTCTGGATCCCAAAAAATACCAAGCTTGGGATTTTTTCAAGCTGAGTAAGTGGAAGGATTTTTCAAATTTAGTAAAAGTGGAGAGGAGTGGTTGATATGAAAGAGGAGTATGTGTTACATGCAGTTGCAGGTATTACAGTCCTGATTTTAGTTACAAAACTAGTTTGCTGACCAATCTCTTTTACCTCACCTGGTTACAAAATCAATTAGGCTTAAGGTTTGGCTCTGTTTTGCATCCATTTTCTATTTTCAGCCATCATTGTTGTTTTCAACATTGCAAAAAGCTGGGTGGTGGAAAGCCAATTTCAGTCAAACCTGGTAGTAATGCTTTACAGGATGTATCTTTAGTAGCACTGGTTTCCACTGCAAACTGTTTGAATGGCCTAGTGGTTAGAGAATCCACCTATGATGCAGGAGGTTGCTGGTTTGAATCACGGCCAAGACATACCAGAGACTTATTAAAATGGTGCTAACAGCTGCCTCACTTGGTGCTCAGCATTAAGAGGTTAGTGTTAGGACTGGTGTCAGGATAATGTGACTGGGTGGGACGTCATGCTACATGTCTGCAACATCATACCTCAGTGCTATACAACACTAAAAACTGCCACACTGCATGGATCATAACGATAGGACTGAAATTTTGTTAAGCTTAGTATAATATCCAAATTACACACTAACGCAACCATATGGAATACTCATTTTCAACTTTTCCAAAACGGCATGTTTTAAATTGACCCATCAAACCTGGCATATTTATGTTGAGATGATGATAATTGAAAATGTGTTGTAGGAACGCCCAATTTTGTTTTCTTTCCATTTGAGTCTCAACTTTGTTGTTCTTTTGCAAGAGAGTATCTTATGGTTTTTAAGCAGCAAGTTGATCTTAGTGTTGTAAAAACAGGCATGATTCCAGTTAAAGGGGCTACCTGTAGTGTTGTAAAATCATAGGCATGATTACAGTTTAAGGGGGCTAACCGTAGTGTTGTAAAATCATAGGTAAGATTACAGTTAAGGGGGCTAACCGTAGTGTTGTAAAATCATAGGCAAGATTACAGTTAAAGGGGCTGCCCATAGTGTTGTAAAATCATAGGCATGATTACAGTTAAAGGGGATGCAATTAGTGCTGTAAATTCATAGGTAAGATTACAGTTAAAGGGGCTGCCCTTAGTGTTGTAAATTCATAGGTAAGATTACAGTTTAAGGGGCTGCCCTTAGTGTTGTAAAATCATAGACATGATTAGTTCAAGGGGCTGGCTGTAGTGTAAAATCATAGGCATGATTACAGTTAAAGGGGCCACCCACTTTAATTTGTCAATTTTTGGAATGATTTAAATTTTTGAGTTAATGTAAGTAACACACTTTCTGATAGCTATCCTGGGTAGAGGGGTTTATCAATACAGAATAATATCAGATGGGATATCTGATTTGACATCAAAATTGACAATACAGTAAAATGATGGGGGGGGGCTTTCTGTTTATTATAGCATAACATCATTTTAATATGCTATAAATCAAGGAGTATGCAAAAACTATGAGAAAATAAGTTCAGAATTGTAAACTCTATGCACTTGTGACATGCATCAAATTTATGATTAAGGTTCTCGTTTCTTTTATGGAGGAGTCCAATTTTTAGGGCGTTTTTATTGTAAACTAACTTGCCTTCACCCTATTAGATACCATAAGGGCAGATGTCCAGAAGCCCTGCATTTAATATCAGGCATGTCAAAAACAATGGATAGAGATCAGAGGGCCCTGTAATTCTTGCAGCCTCCTGCTTAATCAAATACAGTTGATAGATTATTGGGGCATTTAGCAGTTCTTCAGAAAGCCACCATATTGGAGCAAGCACTATATCGTGTTATCTTGGTTAGTACATTTTCAAACTCTCTTCAAATCTGTCTAATCCTGCATATGATGTAAAAAAAATTTTCCCAAACACCAAATCTCAGAAACAAAACTGCATTAAGCCTTTTGGCATGCAAAGGACTATATTGAATAAGGGTCATTTTCTGGGGTGAAAATATTCTTGTTAATATCACAACTCTGTCTCATTGTATTATTCGATGTATAAATCACCCTATACTGTATTGAATAAGCATATAAATTCTTTTTCATACCTATAAAAGTCTTGAACATGGACTGATGTGGGAAATTGAAGCGTAAATGCTTCATTAGAGCAACTTGAAACTATAAACAAGATCTAAGTGCAGGCGTGCTTGAACAAGGTGTTTACACGGATTAATTTTAATGAGAACTTTTGGGTACTGATAATAACTGTGAGCACATTTGTGCTAATCACTATAAATAAAAAAAAAGTTGTGAATTTTGCTGTCCATGTATCACTTGTTTTACCTCTTACATGGTAGTTACTTGCATCACTATGAGTGAGCAGTTAAACCTGTATTTCTATAGTATGCTATATTAAATCCTTTATTGTATTAAAAAAAAATTGGGAATAATACTTAATTATATATTTTAAAAACAATTTTATCGATGTCTTTTTATTTCCATTATATTAAAAAATATTCTGGGAATAATACCCACTTAAATATTTTAAAAATAATTTTATCCATTCATTTCTCTCTTCATTCACAAGAGGTGCTAAAGGGGCATTTGGAACTATATGTAAACAGACCATGTGGAACATTATATTGTATTTTTATGTTGCAAATTTTTTGCAAAGGATCCTGTAAATAATAGGATAAGTATATATATATATATATATATATATATATATATATATATATATATATATATTATTTATTTTATACATAAATAACTGGTTTTTCTTCATTTCCACCACAATACTGATTTACTTTACTCACTACTATAGTGTAATTCTATACACTTAATCTTTAAAATGAATCTCTCAATTTCTAGATGGACAGTTACAGTTACAACCAGCATAATTTTTCATTAAATTTTGTTCACTGGGTTTTCTTCATAAGGTAACTATTAAGTCTTTAAAATTAAAGCATTAACTGGGCAAACAATAAAAAATGGTCTGCAGTTACATAAATCTGCTTGGAAGAAATGTCATCTTTGTGATACACAAAAAACAAGTCGAGCTTCCATAGCTCAAATCGTAAGGCACAAACGTGCCAAATTTTCACACCAAATTCGAATCTCCATATTTCCTTTTTTTTCTAAATAAAAAACTAATATTCATAATATTAACAGATGTCAATTTAAAGGTTGGATAACTGCTCAGTTTTCAAAACCAACAAAATTAATGCACAATTTGAAAATCATTTTTTTTATGTTGTGCAAGGTAACATTTTTATCATTATTCTATTCATCTAAAATGTAACCATACACAGGTTGCCAATCATGTTTGCATCATAAAATAATGGAACCCGTGTTGTGAAGCAGTTATTATTCCATACACATTTACTTATATTCAATATTTTCATGCTGAATTTTTATCATTTTCCAGTGCACTCATGAAGAAAAATCGGTTATAGACTGGCATAAACATTTTAAACTTCCTTACTTCATCAATGATGTTTCTAACAATTACTGAAATTAGAAACGATTTCCAAATGTTTCCAGTTATGATGGAAGCCCAGTAACTGAACTGATTTATGATTCTTTTTTTATGAAACTATTTGCATTACTTTCGTGCACAAAAAAAAGCTCTCCGGTGGCTTAGTGGTTAGAGCATCCGTCTCGGATTGGGGAGGTCATGAGTTCGATCCCCGGTCGAATCATACCAAAGACTTACAAAAATAGTACTAACAGCTGCTTCGCTTGGCGCTCGGCATTAAAAGGTTAGTGTTAGGACTGGTGTCGGGATAATGTGACTGGATGGGACATCATGCTACATGTCTACAGCATGATGCCCTAGTGCTAGACATCACTATAAACTGCCTCACTGCAGACATCATAGTGATATGACTGAAAAAATTGTTAAAGCTACGTTAAAAATCATGATCACATCACATCTGTGCAAAAAAAGGGCAATTATATGAGCCTCAATCATTTGCAAATCATTTTTGATGTTTCTAAAGTGTAATAATATTTTGTGGGAATAATTGTCTGAAGGAATATTAGAGAGTGGCAACATAAAAAGATAGTGGTGGAACAAGTGTTGTGAAGTGACTATTATTCCATACTTGTATAATTCTAGTTTATGCTAAATTTTCCTAATCACTCCACCAAATCAAGAAAAACTGGTTTTAGACTGACATAAATTTGTACTTGCCCACTATATCAATGATTTTTTTTTCTAGAAATTACACATTTTGATTCAAAATAGTGGGAAACGTCAGGAAGGAAGCTAAATTTAGTAAGAGAATCTATTTATGGTTTATTTATTTATTTCATCAATTATGACGTTGGTGTTCTTAAGATAGATTGGAAAGTGATCACTGCTATGAAGGTCATCAGCCACCTTCGAATTATAATCCAAAAGTAGTGAAGGAGAACAAATTGTTAAGTCAATACATGTGCAAGTACCCGTTCCTGGGTGTAAGTAAGTGGAAGACTTGTTTCTAAATAGACACAAGTCATGTCTAGTAACAAAATCTTAAACAGTTTTTGCCCCTGTCACTTATGCAATTTGATCCCCATAAAATGTCAAGAGCATTAAAATCACCAAGTAAAACAAATGGTGCGGGAAGTTGTTGATTGATTGATTGATTTAATTTTAACGGCGCACCAACACTTTTAGGCTATTTAGCGCCATACAGTAAATCATATGTGTAAAAATAAAGGTTCAATATCGACCAGCGATATAATAAAAAGTCCATAGTAGTTAAATATAAAATGGTAAATGTTGGTAAAGTTTAAGATGTTGGTTCCCAATCAACGGGAAATGTAAATGATGAATCTTGATGAAAAGATGTAAATAATAGTTAGTATTTGCATTAGTTAAAAATTAGTTTGGGTAAGATCATACAAGTTACAGTTTGAAATAAAGATTTACTTCCTTTAAGAAATCTAAAATACTAGTGATTTGAATAGTATCAAAAAGTTCCTGCATGTCGTGTACATTATAGTATTTATCACGCGTAGGTTGCAGGTCGGAACACGTGGTCATAAAGTGTTTAACAGTAAATGGTACATTGCAAGGAACGCACTCTGGTGGATCTTCACCTTTTAGTATGTGTGAGTGGGTAATGTATGTATGACCGATTCTGATTCTTGCAATGACAACCTCCTCCCTACGAATAGTTCTGTAGGAAGGAGTCCATTCTCCCAAGATTAGTATGATGACATGAAGTTTGTTATTGATTGCATCATCCCATGATACCTGCCACTTTTGACGTAGATACTTTTTGATACAAGGCTTAAAATCAGAATATGGTAATTTAAAATCCGATGGTTCTAAAGATAGGACCATCTTAGCAGCCCGGTTTGCTTCTTCGTTACCTCTAATGCCAATATGGCTAGGTAGGCAACAGTATACTATATTGCATGAGGCACTAGCTCAGCGTTTTTGATCAGAACATTCACCAATAGTGGATTATCAAGTTTGATATTGTGCAGCGCCTGAAGCACTAATAATGAGTCACAGAAGATAATACTATTTAGAATGTGTTTAGATTTAAAAAATGTCAGAGCAAGGTCTATTGCTCTGATTTCCGCTGAAAATATGGATGCATCATTTGGCAAACGCTCTTTGGTTATGTGTTTGCCACTGACGAAGGCTGCAGCAGCCTTATCAGCAACCGTTGATCCATCAGTATAAAATCTAGATTGATTGCTTGATTGATTGAATTTTAACGGCGCACCAGCACTTTTAGGCTATTTAGCGCCATACAATAGGTCCTATTTGTAAAAAGGTTCAATATCGACCAGCGATATAGTAAAAAAATCCATAGTAGATAAATATAAAATAGTAAATGTTGGTAACAGTTAAAAATATTGGTTCACGATCAACGGGAGATATAATTGATGTATCTTGATGAAAAGATGTAAATAATAGTTGGTATTGGTATTAGTTAAAAATTAGTTTGGGTAAGGTCATAAAAAGTTACAGTTTAAAATAAAGATTTACTTCCTTTAGGAACTCTAAAATACTAGTGATTTGAATAGTATCAAAAAGTTCCTGCATGTCGTGTACATTATAGTATTTATCACGCGTAGGCTGCAGGTCGGAACACGTGGTCATAAAGTGTTCAACAGTAAATGGTACATTGCAAGGAACGCACTCTGGTGGATCTTCACCTTTTAGTATGTGTGAGTGGGTAATGTATGTATGACCGATTCTGATTCTTGCAATGACAACCTCCTCCCTACGAATAGTTCTGTAGGAAGGAGTCCATTCTCCCAAGATTGGTTTGATGGCATGAAGTTTGTTATTGATTGCATCATCCCATGATACCTGCCACTTTTGACGTAGATACTTTTTGATACAAGGTTTAAAATCAGAATATGGTAATTTAAAATCCGATGGTTCTAAAGATAGGGCCATCTTAGCAGCCCGGTCTGCTTCTTCGTTACCTCTAATACCAATATGATTAGGTAGCCAACAGTATACTATATTGCATGAGGCACTAAGTTCAGAGTTTTTTTTATCAAAACATTCACCAATAGTGGATTATCTAGTTTGATATTGTGTAGCGCCTGAAGCACTGATAATGAGTCACAGAAGATAATACTATTTAGAATATGATTAGTTTCGATAAATGTCAGAGCAAGGTCTATTGCTCTGATTTCCGCTGTAAATATGGATGCATCATTTGGCAAACGCTCTTTGGTTATGTGTTTGCCACTGACGAAGGCTGCAGCAGCCTTATCAGCAACCTTTGATCCATCAGTATAAAATCTAGCATAATGTGTAAAGTCATTGAGAAGATCATGATAAGAGTTCAAGAATAGGATAGGGTTTGTCTCAGATTTTTTCCGATCGTGTAACGTAAAATTCACTTGGGGTTGCTTAATGAGCCAAGGTGGTGTTTTCGAGAGAAATGTTTTCTGGATTGAAGATAGATTACATTTGATTTGGTCAAAGCAGGATGATATTCTAAAACCAAATGAAGGTATAGCATTTGGTTTATTTACGTATAAAGCTTTGTAATTTGGATGAAAAACGGCCAAAAAAGCAGGGTTCAGATTGATTGATTGATTGATTGAATTTTAACGGCGCACCAGCACTTTTAGGCTATTTAGCGCCATACAGTAGGTCATATTTGTAAAAAGGTTCAATATCGACCAGCGATATAGTAAAAAATCCATAGTAGATAAATATAAAATGGTAAATGTTGGTAACAGTTAAAGATATTGGTTCACGATCAACGGGAGATGTAAATGATGTATCTTGATGAAAAGATGTAAATAATAGTTGGTATTGGTATTAGTTAAAAATTAGTTTGGGTAAGGTCATAAAAAGTTACAGTTTAAAATAAAGATTTACTTCCTTTAGGAACTCTAAAATACTAGTGATTTGAATAGTATCAAAAAGTTCCTTTATGTCGTGTACATTATAGTATTTATCACGCGTAGGTTGCAGGTCGGAACACGTGGTCATAAAGTGTTTAACAGTAAATGGTACATTGCAAGGAACGCACTCTGGTGGATCTTCACCTTTTAGTATGTGTGAGTGGGTAATGTATGTATGACCGATTCTGATTCTTGCAATGACAACCTCCTCCCTACGAATAGTTCTGTAGGAAGGAGTCCATTCTCCCAAGATTGGTTTGATGGCATGAAGTTTGTTATTGATTGCATCATCCCATGATACCTGCCACTTTTGACGTAGATACTTTTTGATACAAGGTTTAAAATCAGAATATGGTAATTTAAAATCCGATGGTTCTAGAGATAGGGCCATCTTAGCAGCCCGGTCTGCTTCTTCGTTACCTCTAATACCAATATGGCTAGGTAGCCAACAGTATACTATATTGCATGAGGCACTAAGTTCAGAGTTTTTTATCAAAACATTCACCAATAGTGGATTATCTAGTTTGATATTGTGTAGCGCCTGAAGCACTGATAATGAGTCACAGAAGACAATACTATTTAGAATATGATTAGTTTCGATAAATGTCAGAGCAAGGGTTGGATCGTAACTTAAGAGGATAATGTGCAGAAAGCATTTCTCTGCGATGCGATAAAGGTGGTTCATTCGCTTCCACGAGAAGGCTTTCACACGGATATGTCTTAAATGCTCCTAGAGCCAGTCTTATTCCCTGATGATGAATTGGTTCAAGCATTTTCAAATATGACTTTCTAGCTTAACCATAAACAATGCACCCATAGTCTAAGATGGAAGGGATAAATGTTCTTTACAAATTATGGAGGACTTTTTTTTATCAGCACCCTAGTCAGTGTGAGCAATTACTTTGATCAAATTTAAGGCTTTTAGGCATTTAGCTTTCAAATTCTTAATATGTGGTATGAATGTCAGCTTTTTGTCAAATAGTTTACCTAAGAATTTTGTTTCCTCAACAATTGGAATAAGTCTTCCATTCAGCGTGAGTTTAGGGTCATCATGATGTCTTCGCAACTGACAGAAATGCATGCATACTGTTTTTTATTTTGAAAATTTGAAACCGTTATTACTGGCCCAACTTTGAATATTATTGATATTTTGCTGGAGTTGCCTCTCAATTGTATGCATGTGCTTTGGTTGATAACAAATTAAAAAATCGTCAACATATAATGAGCAATAAACACCGGGAGCTAAGCATTTGGTGATACTATTGATTTTGATGGTTAGTAACGTCACATATAAAATACTGCCCTGGGGCACACCCATCTCTTG